TGCGGGCCCTACTCGAGGACGTACTCAAACTCATTCCCGTGGATGTGGTGGCCGTCCACTGTCACGACACGTACGGCCAGGCGTTGGCCAACATACTGACGGCGCTCGAGTACGGCGTGGCTACTGTTGACTCGTCGGTGGCCGGACTCGGCGGCTGTCCCTTCGCGAAGGGCGCCACCGGTAATGTGGCCACAGAGGACGTGGTCTACATGTTGCACGGGATGGGCATCAAAACGGTTAGACCTCGCAAAACGAGCGCCTATTATAGGGTTTTGTGATTATAATTGTATTGTTTTTGGTGGACAGGGCGTCGACCTACCGAAGCTGATGGAAGCGGGCAGTTATATATGCAATGCACTGAAAAAGCAGACTAACTCCAAAGTGGGACGGGCCACCCACTCCAAGACCTGTGTCGACAGCAATAATTAGGTGTTCCCCTCCCTCCCCCATCGCGCCAGTGGTTTGCGGGGCACACGGATTACGGATTCATTAGAGATTATAATTTGCGAAACAAAATGTTCAAAAAAACTATTATAAAAACGAAATAATGTTATATTTTTATGCGATAAACACTCAAAACGGACGCCTATTTTATCGTATCATTCATCGAGGTGTGAGAAACACGTGTGAATTGAACTGAATATTCATAAAAACTGCAATTGTTTTGTGCGTTTAATTCAATCACTAGTTTTTGTTGTTGTTGTTGACGGCATCGGGAGGTCTATTGAGATGTTATGTTAAGGATTTGTTTCTTAAATGTTACGTTGTTTTTACGCAATTGTTTTCAGCATTTGTTTTTGAAAATTGATTGAAACACTCAATGCATTTGTGAAGCGGTTTTTGTGTGCGAAACAAAAATTGGTTGAATTTCTACTCAATTTGTATGATTTGAAAGTCCGGGAGAACTCAGACATCGTTTTATTGAAACAATTTTCTTCTCTTTTTTATGAATAATATAAAAATTGTTTTTTATTTTCAATTTATTATGATTTTTAAAGATTTTTATTATATGAGTTGTAATTAATTCATTGAAAAAACTAATTGTAATGATTATACTCATTAATAATAGCATTATTTATTAAACACTTGAAATGTATTTTTGAAAATAACTGCCCGTTTGTGTCATTTTATTCATAATATATATATTATTTTAATCTAGGAACTCATTTATTACTCATTATTAGGTTTGTATTAAAATGGGATGTAATAGTGAACTGTTGACCCCAACAAATATGCCAATAATGAGGGCCAACCCACTCATCATACCGGCCGTAGACTTATGTTTGGAGTGGACAAACCGGG